AACGGTTCGGTTCGAAATTCCAATCATCTGAAGAAGCCCGGAGCGTACAACGTCCGAAGCGTTGTGAATATGGCAATGAAGATGAGGATGAGAAGTCTGAATAATGTAAATAATACAAGTAATCATAATACCTCATCCCAGATATATAGACAGATATATCTCTATGGGTTATTTAATGTCGAAATCTAAGTATTTTGAACATTTATTTTGATTAACATGTCATTTTCGTTTATGATCGAATTCCTGACTATACTTTTGCTAAGCTTAGAGAGTACTTATACATTCTTATTCAAAGTAGAGTCCAATAGTTTTGTAAAACACACGGAGAATTCCAGTAAGATATTTTTAATCATTTCTAAGATGCAACGTTTCAAAGCTTAATCTTACAATTGGGCAATTTTTGTTACACGTATATATATATATATATATATATATATATATATATATATATATATATATATATATATATATATATATATATATATATATATATTATTGTTATACGTTATTTAAATAGACACAAATATTTAAGTAAATGCTATGTTTATAATAAACTGTATTAACAACATTTTCCGGCTTAAATGTCCGAGAAATTATATAAAACATATGCGCTTTCCTACAGACGCTGCCTTCGTGGCTAAACTGATATAGCAAGTCAGGCTATATGACAGTTCAGTGTAGGATATAGGTTCGATTCCTGTCGGATGAGGCATGTTTTCTATGAATTTTTTCACGTTGTGTGAATGGCATCATATTTGTTATCATCTTCTGATTCTAAAAATCTTGTATCTTGAAGCATTTGGTTGAGAGGTGGAGGCAACCCCTACTAAGCATTGCAAAGGCAAAACACATTAATAATAATAATGATAAGTTGTTCTCGACGCAGCCAATACTGCCGTAGTTTGAATCTAGAATTCCTTTTATTATTTGCAAAGGTTTTGGATTTGGACATACAGACAGAGGGGAAAAATTTGGCTTCATTGAAACTGCCCCGGAAAATCTTGCTACAAGACTGTAAAATGTGAAAGAGAGGCACGGCCATTGTCAAGACGACAGCATAAACTTAAATCAGAACGAATGCCAAGTGGAATGATAAGATATTAAATTGACTTGCTGTCACCTGATCTCCATTGAAAAATATCAAAGCTCAATAAGTAGAAGACGAGGTGGATTTTTGTTGGTGGAGCAACTAATGTGTTTTTTTCCCCTGCAACTTTAAACTGAAATTATTCGAAATTGATGAAAATACATCAATTTAGAATAATTTCACTTTGAAGTTATTTTTCGTGAACAAATCAATAAAAAAGGTGCCAAAAACCAAACTTAGTTGAAGAGCGCCTGCTCTAACGAGACAAACTTCGTTAATGTCCGGCGCCATGAATTAGACTCACACAAATTCACAAGAGAAAAGCACTCGATAAGGAGGGTACTTAGAAATATTCTTCGGCAACAATTACTCCATAGTGAAGGATCTATTTAAGTAAAGCACAAGGCCACAGGTGTGGAATAAACAGTACTAAACGAACTAATTTAATCAAAAATGGTATGCACCAGTAGCTATTCCTTAGTAAGACACAAGGGCAGAGGCGGCGTGGAAGACTAAGTGACGAAATAACTCCAGCATGCATAGTCTGTACCTGTAGCAACTAATAAAAAAATTGTTATTATGGCAACAAACTGCATACCTGACGCCACTCGATGCGCGCAATCCGTGTATTACCCTAGCAGAAATATTTTAGTCAGGTACTTTTACTGAAATAAAAAAGGAATAGAAAATCAAATATACAAATTTTTGTAAAAAAAAAAAAATGTGTAATGTTGAAAATTTAAAACGCCACACTATTTCTTGAATATATATATATATATATATGTATGTGTGTGTGTGTGTGTGTGTGTGTGTGTGTGTGTGTGTGTGTGTGTGTGTGTGTGTGTGTGTGTGTGTGTGTATTATTAGCTATTTTCAAGGATTTATTTTATACTATGAAAAATAGCATACGAGAGGTATTGTAAACGGTATAAAACTAACCTCTGAGGCCTCTAAATTCGTAAATAATACGAGACCGGAGCAATGTTCAATCCTCTTTTGTTCACTTTTACCATGAATCGTCAGTCCCTACGCTTTGTCTTGACAACATATAACAAGTATCTATAGAGGGAAAAAAACTGAATTGATGATCATTTGCTTACTGTATTACCTGTTTTAACTAAATAGATAAAGTCAAAAGAATAGGTTCGATTATCGTCCGGTTCACATTCCTCCCCAGTCTTTTGAAGAGGAGCAGAGGTTTATTCTTTGTTTCCTGTATATCAGGTGTCGGCAACTTACGGCATGCGTGCCACACGTGGCACGCCAAGCAATTCCCAATGGCACGCAGCCGCAAATGACATCACGATGTCCGAACCAAAGAAGTTTACAACACAAAGAAGATATTTAACTTTTTCAATTTGAATATATACTAAAGTATACATTATGTAATAAACAAAGTCCGACAATTATTTTAAGACATTTTTTTATGTTTAAACGTGGTTTTTATAGATACAAATATTTAAGTAAATGTTCTGTTTATAATAAACAGTATTAACAACATTTACCGGCCTGAATTCGTTCCCCCTCTAAATGCCACTCCATGAGTAGTCTAATGACTCTGCGAGCGATGCCGACAGCAGTTCTAAACTCCTAGTAGAGCCACCCTTGACAGCAAGGTCGAAGACAAGGACCCAGACTAACCCCGAAGACCACAAAAGTGGAACAAGAGGATAATGTTTACAACAGATCACAACGATTGAACGAACAGATGAAGATGGTTACGTATAACGGACAGGCTACAGAAAACGCAACTCAAAATCATAACAGTCAGTTTTATTTTCATAATTGAATTCTCCATGTCTCATTCCATATTTGCTGCAGAGGGAGGTCATGAAATCAAATGTGTGGGTCACTTCCTATCAAGTAGAGGTCCATCTTAAACAAATTCTACTCTCTACGTTCTTTTCAGATCTAAACAACTCTTGTAAAGCCAAACGGCAATACGGAATGGAACAGGTTTTGGTGAAACTGGAAGCTTCTAGTCCTGAATCTACATGTTGGTGGTGAATTTAGTCATTATCGTCATAAAGGAAGCGATTGGCAAAGAAGATATTAAGTTCTTGCGTACGAGATAAAGCCGACTACGATCAGTTAAAGAAAATGATGTAGATTAAGATCGAAACAAGGAGTTTGATCCTTACTGGTACGTCACACTTATCTGTTGGTCGATCACGTCCATCAAACGCGTGACGACGGCATCCCGAAAGTGGGGGAGGCACAAGCTCCCATCTACAGGTAGGAGCAGAACAGTGTTCGGAGGCAGATTTTAAGTGGGAATATCGCTATTGCAGAGTACAAAATAACAGAAAGGAAAGAAGAGAAACCGTACCAATCTACATTTGTCAGAAACTGCCACATATAATAAATAAATAACCGTCCTGGATAAGGCGATAAACTGCATCCGCGTCCTGGGTAAGACGATAAACTGCATCCGAGTTCTGGGTAAGATGATAAACTACATCCGAGTCCACAGTAAAACGATAAACTACACCCGCGTCTTGGGTAAGACGATAAACTACATCCGCATCCTGGGTAAGACGATAAACTGCATCCGTGTCCTGAGTAAGACGATAAACTGCATTCGTGTTCTGGGTAAGACGATAAACTACATCCGACAGCAAGGCCTCTGATCAGGACGTTTTTAGGATCATGGAGCCACCTCTTAATTGCAGGTGTTTCCAGGTCAACCCTGACCCGTGGTGGTAGTACCTGTTAGGGGGCAAATACTTACGCCCCGCAACAACAACAACAAAAAAAAAATCCAAAAAAACAAAACAAACCTAAAACCATAGGTCAAAACATTATGAATGTGTAAAATTTGTTTTAATAACAGCAATGTATTTTTGGAAAAAAATTCTAGCAATACAATTTTGAACGAAAAAATTAATACCAGCAGTACATTTGCAGCTATACGATTTTGAAAAAAAAAATTGCCTGCAATAAAAATCTTGTCAGCATTGAATAACCTATTGAGGTTGATATACCGTAAAACAAAACAGCCAGAAAAAATGGCTTTTCCAGCCACGTTACGTATGAAATTGTTTCCCAAGTGGATTCTTCCATTTCACATTTAAACAGGCAAGGCCAAAGAGGCAGTAATCGAAGTAAACGCCTCTTATCACATCATAGAAGAGTGATTCTAATCAACTCGACGTGGTGTAATGGCTAACGAGCTTGTTCACTAGAACCATTATAACTGAGTAGTGAGTTCGATCCTCACGAATTTTCCCATTCTTTCAGCCTTGTGACACATTTAAGTTGCTCAGCCATAGAACAGTAAATAAAAAGCGTCTTGGGTGGTTAAAGAGATTCTAATGTCTTAATATTTACCCAGAGTTGAAAAGAAAATGATATCATGCTTTTTTTCCCAAGCGTAGTAATGAAAAAGCGAGCATACTTTGTCCTCGCCTGAATTCGAAACCGTTTAGCAGATTTTGTATGAACAGTTAATCGTTCAAGTGTTTGAGGCACCAGGAACTCATTTGAAAGTTCCTTATTGGTTGGGTCGTTTGAAAAAAAATTATTCTAAGAAACAACTATTATTCAACGAAAAAGCAAAGGACAAACATATTTAATTTCAGGAAATTTACAATCTTAACATTTTAGAGCATGACAGACGAAACTGAGAGTCTATATATATATATATATATATATATATATATATATATATATATATATATATATATATATATATATATATATATATATATATATATATATATATATATATATATATATATATATATATATATATATATATATATGTGTGTGTGTGTGTGTGTGTGTGTGTGTGTGTGTGTGTGTACTTCTTGAACATGTTAAATCCATGAGGAATTTAGAGTCACAGTCAAAACCATTGTCTTTTAGCAGGGGTGGCGTTACTACACTTACGTTCAACCGGTTTTGAATGCAGATTTGTCAATCGCTGAGACTTGTTTCAAACTAAAACTAGAGAGATCAAAATCCATCAATCAATCAATCAATCAATCAATCTATCTATCTATCTATCTATCTATCTATCTATCTATCTATCTATCTATCTCAGTCTTTCTTTGCTATCTATCTATCTATCTATCTATCTATCTAAGGTCGATCCTTTAAAGATGTCGACTGTGTGGATAGAAAAATTAATACTGTCTGGTGACTGACAATGACATACTTTAATGCGATCATATGGCTTGATATATATGTGTGTGTGAGTATTTTATATATATATATATATATATATATATATATATATATATATATATATATATATATATATAAACATAGAGAGTGAGAGAGGGAGAGAGAGAATGATATATGTAGCGTTTGCCGAAATTCCTCTCACTGTAATCGACAAATGATGCTTAAAATTTACGCCCCCCACCAACATATATATATATATATATATTAAATATATATAAACACAGAGAGAGAGAGAGAGAGAGGGGGGGAAGAGGGAGGGGTAAAGAGATAGATAGATAGAGAGAGAGAGAGAGAATGAGATATGAAGTGTTTGTCGAAATTGCTCTCCCTGCAATCGACATATGATACTTAACATAGTGTCAATCTTTTGCTATGACCCAGATTTCGTTCTTGAGCAAATTCTTCACGACAGCCGGCTGAACACACACTAGGCAATGCCTCGCCATCTCTACATCCCTTTTACATTTGGCGAGCGATTATGTATTGTCTAGTTTTAGCCACTTACTGTTTTCTCCTCGATAGTCTTTACTATGACGTCAGCTGTTAACTGACCAATCGGGGACAATGGAGATTTGAAAAAGGGCTGAGAGAGACTGGAAAAATGTGTATGAAGAGAGAAAAAATAGAGAGGACGAAAGAGTAAAGGTCTATGAAGAGGATTTAGGGGGACAAAGAAGGTACTTGAGAAAAGGAGAGATGAAATATCTGAAAAAGCGAAGAGAAAATCGTGATGAGAGGAGGAAAAGTAAGAGTGAAAGTAGATTTAGATAAGGAGAAAAAAGACTGGCGGGTAGAGGAATAAAGAGAGTATTAGTAAGAGAAAGAGAGAGAGAGAGGGGCGAGAAAAGGAGAAAAAGAGAGAGAGATAAGCAGGGGTGGATGGCTAAAAGAGTAAAAGAGAAAGTAAATAGAAGAAGAACAAGAAATAAGAAAAAGACGAGAAGATAAGTAACAAATTAGGAACGATGAAGGAAGACAAAGGAATAAAGAAAAGCTAGAAAAATTGACGGAAAGAAAAGAGAGGAAAAAGAGAATTGTGGAACCCTTGCGAGAGAAGATAGACAGAAAATGGTGAATGAGAGAAAAAAATAACAGTAAGATTAGAAAGGATTAAATAACATTTGTAATGGGAAACTCGATAAGTAAGAAAAGAGAGCTAAAAACTAATAGATTGTCTCCAACTTATAAGGTTAGAAACAAAGACTAAAATCGTACGTCGAATGCACTTTTAAATATATTTTATAGAAATAGGAACTTAACCTCAACTGCAGTAATATTTTCATTCTTCAAATAAAGTTAAATTAAAAACTTAAATCACCACAATTGCTTTATTAATTAAAAGATAAAATCATTCAGGTTATAAAATAAACGAAATGAATCAATTAATGTGCGTGGCGGTTATTTTTGCACTAAGCTTGGATGTTAATCTAAGAGAAGGGAAAAGCTGAATTCAAAACTGTATTTAAGTTCCAGGCAACAGGAAACCACTGCACTGTCTTTCCCAAGAAGTCGTGACAATTCACAAATAATAATAATAATAATAATAATAATACGTAGAGAAACCTGGTCGCTTATGTCATGTAGGGACATAACAGCTTTAAAAATTCGTATATATAATTGCATATGATGCCAAATTTAAAATCAATTTTGGCAAAATTGTACAACGCATTTCTTGACCAAGGAATGGCGGAAAAGATGTCTATCACTGGAAAAAAAACAAAACAAACTGTTCAGTTACAGATAATAGTCGGATAAATATTCAGGAAATTTACATAAAAAAGAAAATTAAAGTAAAATCTTATATAAACTTATTTTCACATTTTATGGAACAGTTTTTATTTGTATTTAAAACTTGTGTTTAATTTTGTTTATACACTTCTAGTCAAAATCTTAAGACCAGATACAAAAGGTTTAAAAGAATATAAAATACTGTTACTTTAATCGAAATATATTTGAGAAACATTTACATTTCATTAGAAAATGTACTTTATTAAACAAACAAGTGAAATTTTTAAGATTTTTATTGATTAATTTAAACAAACATTGAAAAAGTATTTTTGGGGGTTGGTCATAATGATAAAAGTCTATGAGTGAAACAAATACTGGACAAAAATTTTAGAACAAGTCAGTGTGCTTATAGCTTCAAGCGTATAGATATCTACTTAGTTCATTTCTAGCATTAAATTTCAGATATTAAAATGGCTAGGGGTAAAATTTCGAACTGGACAGGATTGTTGAACATCAAAGACTTGGTCTCTCGCAACGAGTCATTGGAAATGAATTTGGCAGTAGCAGAAATGCCATTGCTCACTTCATTAAAAAATCCGGATGCATTTGCTTCTAAAAAATCGAGCAGTCGCCCAAATAAAATCTCACCATCTCTAGACAGACGCATTAAGTGAGAAGTTAAGAGAGATTCAAGCCTAACATCAAATCAGATAAAAGCGAATACAGATGCTGAATGCAGCTATTGAAAAATTCGACGGCATTTAAATAAGAAAGGGTTTAAGAAATTGAAACGGCTGCAGAGGCCTTGCCTTCTTCTTCGCCATAAAACCTTCCGTTTACAATTTACTTCCGATTATTAATCTTGGAATGTTGATAAATGGAAGAAAGTCTTGTTTTCAGATGAGAAAAAAGAATCAACCTTGATGGCGCAGACGGTTTTCAGCGTTACTGGCATGCAAAAGATGTCCCAAAATAAATTTTCTCAACACGACACAGTGGAGGTGGATCAATTATGGTCTGGGGTTCATTTTCGTACAATGGAACTCTTGAGTTACAGGATGTAAAAGGTCGTCAACCAGCTGCTAGTTACATTGTGTTAAGAAAGGAGGAGCTAATTACTGAAGGACCTCATCTATGTAGAGAAAACTGGATTTTCCAACAGGATAATGCTGCAATTCATAACGCTCGAAGCCGAAGGAGTTTTTTTTTATGGAAAAAAAAACATTCTGCTTTTGAGCCATCCACCATACTCTCCAGATCTAAACCCAATCAAGAATGGTTGGGGATAGATAACAAAGGATGTTTATAAACATGGATCGCAATTTGAAACATTGGATGCTCTTCGTGTTGCAGTTTATGCATCCTGGGTGAGCATCCCAAGCACCACTGATGCAGAAGTTAATAATGAGTATGCCAAATAAAATTTTCGAAGTAATTCGCAAAAATGGCGGAGATACTGAATATTAGATTGTCGTTGTGATTTATTTGTTCTGTATTTTCTATTTTCATTTACAAATTTACTTATCTTTATGACCAACACAAAAAATACATTTTAAATGTTTGCTTAAATTAAAAGCTTAGAATTTTTATTTGTATCTTGGCAAACTACATTTTCTAAATAAATATAAATGTTTCACAAATATATTTAAATTAAAGTAACAATATTTTATATTTTTTTAAACCCTTTTGTATCTGGTCTTAAGATTTTGACCAGGAGTGTATGAAAGTGAAATATCCATTAGGGAATTTCAGTGTAAAAATACACTCTAAAATTTTATAATTTTATCCCTGAATTTCTGGGATAAGAATTTATTATTAATTACACTATTTACATTTGGATTATTGTCCTCATCTTTGTTGTTGTTATCTTTGTTATAGCAACAACAAAGATGAAGACAACAGTCCGAATGTGAATATTGTAAGGAATTCGGTTAATTAGTGGAATTTAATGAATTTTTGATATTTATAAATTGATAATTAAAAGAACATGTAATTTTGATGAAAGTTATCGAAAGTCCGAAATCTCGACGGTAATAAGTTCAAAATATCGATGGCCATTCATGTGAAGAATACATGATCGGATGTTTGAAATATCGATGATCATTAGTACGAAATATTGACGATCGAAAGTTCTGAATATGAAGTTCGAAATATCGATGATCTTGTTCAAAACCTCGATCACCGATAATTTCAAATATCGATTATCGGAAGTTCGAAATGACCAAGATAGAAAGTTCGTAATATTAAAGAATACAATATGAGAACCAGTAATAAGGAGTGCCAGAGAAAAGCGATAATAACAACAATAATTGCAATATGAGCTCTGGTAAAAACATGCAATGATAACAGCAAAAAATTGCAATATGAGCACTGGTAAAAAACATACAATGATAACAGCAAAAAATTGCAATATGAACATCGGAAAAAATGGTTGCTGAAGACCTTAGGCTTATAATACCCAGAAATTCATATACATACAAGGACACAGTGGATAAAGGCGTTAATTAGATCCAGTGACAAGACCCAAAGAGTGTGAGTTCAATACCCGGTTAAGGCAGTGAAGAACTTGGAGAGGGGAATTAACAGGAGATAGCTGATAACTGGCATCCATTAAACGTGGCACGTGGAACGAGAACAGTCTACTCCAGTGAGCGAAATAAAGGGTTCAGTTCGACATTCCAACCACCTGAAGAGCGTACAGCGTTGTAATAAATATGGCGACAAAGATGAGGACAATAGTCTGAATAATGTAAAAGATTATAAGTCCGAAATATCGATCCTTGAAATTTCCAAAAATCCATGATCGAAAGTTCGAAATATAGATTATTGAACATTTCGACATATTTGTGATCGAAATCGGAAATTTGAATTTTCTATGATTAATAGTTCAAAAAAATTAAGACAGCTGTGTATTAATTGGTATCAGTTATCTCCCTTTATCATAGAAAGCGGAATGACAACAATCTATTGTTATGGACTGAATAAAGTGTTCGGTTCGAAATTCAAAAAGTTTATTGAGACACCTGAAGAAGACTGGAGGGCACACAAACCAGCCGAAACTTTGTAAGTATAACAACCAAGATGAGTATACTTGTCTGAATAACAAAGAAAATAATTTAAACCATCCCGGCGAAAATATTGATTAAATTTGACTGAAAATATGGATTGGAGCAGGGAATAGCAAAACAAAAAAAACCCCCCAAAACAAAAAAAACCCCAAAAAACAAACCTTACTAAGAGCTACAAAGGAGAGGAAGATGTGGAGAGTCACGATCGCCCACGTCCTGAAGGAACATATAAAATAGAAGAAGATATAGCTTAAATAGTATCTTACAGTGGTTTGAAGACGGGGCCAAAACACGTTTTGAAAGCTATATTTCCAAGCATTAAAAAAATCTAATTTAAAAAATTGACTCAATACAATATTGCTCATTCTTTGACTTGGCCTAAATTAAATAACGATCCTCTCATAAAATCATAATAATTCGACAGATTAGACGGGCACCCAACAAAGATTGAACTCACAAACAAGTCGATTGAGTAGCTTGCTGTTACACTCCAAAAAGTATTAAGAAAAAGTAAAATAAAAATTAGAGAAAGAATAATATCGAGAAAAAAAAAATCAGGAAAGAGAAGTAGACAAGATTTACCTCCCTTGCCAAACTTGGTTTCAATGTCTCACTCACAGTGTTATTTTGTTTTGCCCTCTTTCTGTCACTCTTATTTCTCCTCCTCTTCCTCCTGTTTCTTTCTACCCCTGATCTTTCTCTTGCGCACGCGCACAGACACACATCCGTTTTTTTTTTTTTCGTTGTTCTAGTTTGATCGCTTTTCTTTGAAAAAACATTTATTTCACTTTTCACCATCATTGTTATTGTTTATCGTTGATATACTTAGGGAAAGACAAATGACATTCACGGACAAGGCGACAGATGTTCGCTCCGGAAGTAGATAAGGCTATTCCTCATAATTTGCGTTTTAAGTTCTTTCATTCACACACACACACACACACACACACACACACACACACACACACACACACACGTACACACACACATCCATACGGACACAAACACGCACGCACACGCACAAGCACGCTTATATATGTGAATTTAGGTAGATATACTCAAAAATACTAGTGTTTTGTTAAAATCCTCACATATTCGTACACACAAATACACACATATCCGACTTTGCATATATGTAAAGGAAATATTCAAACATATAAATAGTGCAGTGTTCACACGTATACGCACCAAAGATACACACACACACGTACGCACACACATACACAAACATAGCTTTGCTTTAAGCGTAAATTCAAAGAAACCTGTTTGAAGACATATAAATTTCACGGAATATAAATTAACCGTATCCCTTTACAAATTTCCACTTGACAGCAAGCAAATTATTCGCACATAAGGAGAAATTCGACAAAAGAATTAAAAGATATTCCTTGTCCTATTTAGTTGATACTTTGAGCTCTGACCATCGTTTTACCGGTGGTAGAGAAAAATGACTTGATGCCCAGTCACCGGTTGAACGGTGGGTAAACACTTGTAACTATTTTTATATCTTCCGTAAAACATTACACACCAATTATTTGCAAATTTTGACTGTGGTTCTCAAGCAAAAGGGTTAAAATTGTTCAGAAACGCAGGGCTGAAAGGGTCAATATTAGTGTCACTTAGTGGTTAGAACCTGAGCCTTCCGACCATGAAATCCGTGTGCGAATGTCACCAGATACGATTTGATAAGGAGATGATAAGATCTATGTATAGAGGCGATCCACACGTGCAGAATCGTTGGAAAATTCTTACAAAAACAGATCATGGTTTTTCCCAAGCCTTCTAACTAATACTTGTTAGATGAAACTGTTGGAAATTCCTCGATGATTGTACGAGCACGTAGTCATAAGTCATCGTGACCAAGGGTTGGAATATATTGGCCATCTTCAGTAATTGATCAGTTCAAATTGTGTGCTCACACCCCGAAATTGTAACTAAGGCCTGCTCAGTATAGTTGAGGTATTGTTGGGGCATAGGTGGGATTTGCAAAGAAATGCAAATATGCCTGAACATGCGTCTGCAACAAGGATTAATTAGCCACTGTAACAAGGTGATAAACACGGAAAAAAAGTTGGTAACCATTTTACGATTAGATTATCTATCTATCTATCTATCTATCTATCTATCTATCTATCTATCTATCTATCTATCTATCTCTCTCTCTCTCTCTATATATATATATATATATATATATATATATATATATATATATATATATATATATATAGATAGATAGATATAGAACGTCTATTAGGTCTCAAATTCATTCTTGACCTCACGTGGATAGAATGTGTCAGCCATGTTTTTTTTTTCGGATCTTTAAAAACTGCATCAGTTTTTAAAGATACGGGAAAAAAACATGGCTGACACATTCTGTCATTCCAGGAAGTTACTGACTTCTACCATGTCCCACCTTTACAAAAGTAAGATTTAACCAAAAAAATTGCTTCCCTCCCACACCTGGAAAGAGGCACGGTGGGGTAATGGATAGCGGCTCGGATTGAAAAATCGGAGAGCCGAGTTCGAATTCTAGTTGAATCCATTACATTCACTTACGTGCTAATACCCTTGGGAAAGGTATGAATCCTCTTCTTCCCCCAATGGGTAAATAGCAGGATATACTGGGTTCTATAGCCTTGGGTGGCAACTGATGTAGGAGGACAGCTCTGAATTCAAAACCTTCGGAGGGTCGTTTGGTGACCTTGTGGCACGTAGTGCACCAGGTCCTCTGTAGTCGGGCCTTCAAAAAGTGTGGACAGTTCTGCACAAAACCTTTACCATTATAATCAAATCTCATGTGCTGGTGTAGGGCTGCCGGTTCCTAGGAACTGAACTGCTTGACCCTCATACGTCGAATACGACGGGAGAGTCCACCACATACATACATATATATATATGTGTGTGTGTGTGTGTGTGTGTGTGCATTAATTACAGGAATGTTAAGAGGAAAATCTTGTTTCTTCCAACGCATTTCATTCATTGAGGAACTTTATCAAATACATAGTGGAATTGGAAATCACCACATCTGGGATATTGCTTTCTCCACGTTGCTGCCATGTAAAATATACGTTATCTCATTCTCGTGTAGTCAAGTGTAGAAATTTTATTTAACAACCTGTATTTACGTACATAAATAACCCGGAGAAAAGAATAATACATTTTATACACACACTAACACACAAATATATATAATAATAATAATAAATATACATATTATTCCTCAATAGTATTATGTCATAATATTATATATATATATATATATATATATATATATATATATATATATATATATATATATATATATATATATATATATATATCTATTCATTAATTTTTCTGTTATATTACATCGTGTTGGTGTGATGTAATGGTTAGCAAGCTTGTCTTGCTAAAAGACTTATGATTTAATAGTAAGTTCGATCCTCACTGGGTGCCTCATACATTCAACCTTGTGCCACATCTAAGCTGGCATATATCAGATTCTTTTTAAGGCACCTCGAGGTGGTGTAATGGTTAGCAAGCTTGTCTCGCTAGAACTATTACGACTGAATAGTGAGTTCGATCCTCATTGGGTGTCCCCTTCTTTTGACCTTGTGCCACATCTAAGTCGGCATATATCAGATTCCATTTTGATAACCCTAGAAATTACTTCAACGCTTCTATTTTCTAAATTGTCATCAATTTTTACACTTCTCTTACGATGTATGAAGTGATGGTCGTAAAAAACTTGAAGGATGCGATGACTGATTTTATAAAGTTATTTCATTAAGACGCATTATATATAAGGGTGTTTCATTAAGACGGATCAAAGTCAGCAGAAAATAAATCAGTGTTATTGTCGAAAATTTAATTATTTCTCTATTAGAGCATGTTTTTCAAGTCATAGCAATTATGTGTGAAAAATAATATCACTTAAATGTCCGCCAAATCTGAAAGAAAAAGAAAAAATCATTGGACGCTTGAATTTAATTCACATTTAAAATCGGTCCAAGTTATTGGAATACTCTTTACAAGCTCTACGAATAACACACATGAC